TGTTTACTTTTCTGGACATGCCTAAAGGACTATATAATCTGTTAGCAACTTTTAATGTGTTTATTGTGTGTTTTATATAATAAATAACTAAATAATTAAATCTGTTCACTGTCAACTTAAGTTTTTACAAACCTGTTGTTCATAACGCGTAAGCGACGCGTTCTGCACAGCGCTTACGACATTTTTCTCGCGAGCGCAGTCCTCATCGACGCAACGGAACGAACTACAGTGGACTACCGTGCAAAGTTTTATAATAATCGCTAAATCGTTGGAAACAATCTATTGTTATTTTTACCTTTTGGGCTGTAAAGAGATTAAAATTTAAAATATTATTAATAATAGTAACCTGGGATCTCGGATTGATAACGTCCCTAAAACAATAATTAAAGTACAGAAAATAAAAATAATTAATTGATTAGTAACATAAATTGAATAAATAAATATGTCCTTAAAATTAGTAAATTGGGGATGTTGTTCTCAAGAAGACAAAGATGATAACGAAAGATTCATAACTTGTAACAGCTGCAAAAAATCCTTTCACTTTTTGTGTTTGTCGATACCAGAAATACAATCAAATACAGACATTTATAATAAATGGAAATGTCCTTCGTGTTTGAATCGGATGCCTAAAACGTCTAAAAAGGATTCTACCCCTGTTCGTAATATCTCCACAACACGAGGCAACAAGAGGCCTGCACTGAACTCACCACCAGAAGAACACAGCTTAACCAGTGACAGAGTACGTGCCATTGTTGAAGACGTAGTAAAGACTGAGTTGAGTGCTATGATGGAAAAGCTAAAGTGCAGTATGCTCGACATAATAAATAAGGAATTGACACCAATTAAAAAAGAAATAAGGGACATGAACGAGTCTATGACTTTTATCAACAGCAAATTCGAATTGATCGAAGCCGACCAATTAAACGCGAATAAACTCCTAAAAAATATACAGGAAGATAACAAAAAGTTGGAAAGCACAGTGGCAGATTTAACACAACGTCTGAATTACTTGGAACAGCAGTCTTGTTCAAACAACATTGAAATCCAATGCGTCCCTGAAAAGAAAAGCGAAAACCTATACACTATCGCGAAGGCCTTATGTACAGCTGTCAGACATGAAATAAAGGAAAAAGATATACTGCATTGCACCCGTATAGCCAAACTTAATAAATCCAGCACTCGTCCTAGATCTATTGTCATTCAACTGGCTTCTCCCAGGGTACGTGATGATCTCCTTGCATCAGTTATTAAATTTAATAAAATACATGCTAATAGTAAGCTTAACGCAATCCATCTGGGATTTCTTGGCAATAACAGTCCAGTCTATGTCACAGAACATCTGTCTCCAACAATTAAAGCTCTACATGCCGCAACAAGACAAAAGGCCAAAGAAAAAATTAATAAATTTATTTAATAAATTTGCGAGCACAATATGTACACAATTCTCTGATAGTGAGTAACGGGCTCATTAATTCATCTTCGCTCACCGGATCTATAATAGGATTCGTCGGTGCACCCGGGTGCCATACTCGGTCTCTATACGTAATGTAGGTGTGGGCTAATAACGGAATCACACTGACGCTTCGTTTATGTTCGAAGAAAAAGTCCGTCGGTATAATTGGTTTAGTCTCTTTATCACCTACCGAATCCTCTTCACTAGTAGACGATTTGTAATAGTATTTAGATAAAATTGACTCTTCCTGTGGCTCCTCTATCGAAGGCCAATAAAGGTCTAACACTCCGGAAACCAATTCTGGTGTGTATCTCATATTTTTCTGCAACTTAACTTAATTTTTTATTTTAAATAATTATCGGTAAAAATTAAAAAAAATATAGAATATAGATCATTTACTTATAAAATTTCCATAATTAAATAGTACATGATAAAATAATGCCAGTAGAGTAATTACAATTAAAAAATAAAATAAAGTTAAATAAAATAATAATCATCTAGTTTTAGTAATAATTACGATATAAAATAAAACATAAAATTAATTTTACTTAACGACATTTTTCGTCATAATTTTATTGATCGATGTTATATTTTATTATAATTTCAATTGAACCCATTCTCGATTCGTTTTGGTGTTTCGATTTTACGCGTGCCACGTCTCGAGAGCGACTGGCAGTTTTCCTTTATCCCCACCACTTTTTCGCGATTTTGTATGGGCGCGCGCTCGATGCCTATATATTGCGATGCTCTCTCGCGCGCGAACTCTTTCTACTCAATCATTCCGAGTTGTGCAGTAGTAGAAAAGGGGAAGGAGCTCACGCCTCTCCATGATCGAGAAAAAAGTACATGGCGCGCGGGGGCGGGGGTGCGGGGGGTTTAGAGGGGAAATGATGAATATGAAAATGAATGTATTAAATTGAATAGAAGATCGATTTAAATTTTAAATGAGTCTAGATTAATGCCCAAAATGGATTCAATAAGAGAACTGATTTCAATAAAAAATCTTTGAATCTTTGATCGATTTAAGTTTTATTTTTTGAATTGGTCTAGATTGGTGTTTTTATTCGCGTAAAATGCGGGTTGTATGAATCCAATTTGGATTAAATGCTCAATTGTAGAGTAATTTCGTTTTTATTAGAGATATAATATTAAATCTTTAAACTAATTTTTTTTAAAAAAATTAATAAGCATCATAACAATGATTGTATCTGAAATACCTATAGAGAAATCATATGATATTAACAATAAACAACAGGACACCTATAAAGCAGCAGGAGCATCAACTGCCACCATACCACTTCATATCACGACCGAAATGAATCCGACCACTTACAAAGAATTAATTATGTCCACAGCCAACATGTTGGAGAATATAGAATTTTTAGCTAAACGCACCACTATGCCGCCCATGGTTTCAAATATTCTTGAAAATCTTTTTACTTATGAACGTGACGCTGATATTTTGAAAAATCAAGATTAGATTGCTCTCATTGGTCAATGACCAAATACGGCCAAGTTCGAGCTGGACTCTAGGTTAAGTTAATTAAATTAAAATTTAAGTAGGACTATGAACCTTATGTTCATGCAAATTGATTTATTTTATTAGAGTATAAAAATTGAACCTGTGACTACATATAACTTCCACTAAATCATAGTGGTATTAACTTAGATTTTTTTCTAAAAAATATAGATAAGCTCATCATATACCCCCCTGACCCCTACGACCCATACCCCGCACCCCTCAGACTTACTGACTTGCGCATCACGCCACATTCACCCCCCCCCCTCTGACACATTACCCCTCACCCCTTAAGCAAAATATTAAAAACAGACGACAGACATCCCCCCCCCTCGCTCATAGTACCCCTCACCCCTTACATACCCGGACCCTACATAGAACCTTATAATAATTAAATATATCAAACCCAAGACTCTTCTAAATTTAACCACTGAGCCATAAGCAACATAGAACCTTGTAACACTATTAAACATAGAACTTTGTAACATTTTAATCGAACTTAGAAAACTTTTTAGATTTCACCACTGAGCCATAGGAGTAACGACATAGAACCTTGTAACACTATAAACATAGAACTTTGTAACATTTAAATCGAACTTAGAAAAATTTTAAAATTTTTTTTTAGATTTCACCACTGAGCCATAGGGGGGTATTAACATAGAACTTTGTAATAATTAAATAAAATCGAATCCTATACTATAAGATTACAACCACTAAGTCATAGGGACAGGAAATTTTTGTCTTTTTGTAATTTATTTAGGATATAATTAAATTAAGTTAGATTAAGACATATAGCGAGCCATTTACACTCGCTATAATTTATTTATATTGACAAATTGACGGGAGCCGGACTCTAACAAACATGCATAGGACACCTCCCAAAACCTCCAAACCGCCAGCGGTAAAGGCGAAAACCGCCAAACCCCAAGCCACGTCAAGTAAGAATGTCAAAACAACAGCAACGACATCACCGTCGCCATCAAAAATACCAACACCATCACCTCTAGCCCCTTTTTTTTTTTTTTTTTTTCGCTGGGGAAACCCATCATGGGGACCCTGCCGCCGTCATGGGCAGGGTACTGTGAGACTCCTACTCACTAAAACCCACAGCGGAACCCTTCGCCGCAGTGCAATGGGGCGTGCAGGATCGCTTTCGCATTCACTGCAACACCCCTGCGGACGGCCCGTACCACGCGGGCCAGCCTCGCCTAAATCAGGATGCCCTCGGCTCGCAGGGCATCCCGACCGCCCCGATGACGTGCAGGGGAGTCAACGAGAGACCCCCCCGCAGTAGCTCCTCTAGGGTGTGCGCGCGCGTGCGAATCGTTATCGAGCGATAAACAGACTGATATTATTACTAAACTTGAAAAAAAACTGGGTGCGACCGGTTTAACATCATCCATCTCTCTCTGATACGCGTTCGACTACGAGGCGCGCGTCTTAGAAGGTTATATATCTATCTCGCTCTCGCGCATACGTGTTCGGCTGTGAAACTATAGACGTTATTTTAAGAACTAGTTTGTCGAACTTATATTTTTTTGTAAAATAAATATCATGTCTCTCGAACGTAAAATTTATTCCTTGGGCGAGAAATCGTTTAAAATTTAACGAACATCGAAATCCGTGGTTCAAAGCCAGAGAAGCTGCATCGGCCTTGGGATATAGTAATACTCGCGATGCTATTTTAACGCATGCCATGGGGATTCGTCGGACCGTCCGACCGTTCTAAAGTTCCACCGTATTGGAAGCCTGATATGCTATTCATCAACGAATCGGGCCTGTACTCGTTGATTTTGATTCATGTCTATATAAGAATTATTTTTCAAACTTATAATTTTTTGAAAAACTATATATCATGTCTCTCGAACGAAAAGTGTTTTCTGTGGGCGAGAAATCGTTCGAAATTTACATTTATATCGACGAACAACGAATCGCATTGTTCAAAGCCAGAGAAGCTGCATTGGCATTGGGATACGTAGACTGCGATGGTGCCATTCGAAAGCACGTCGACATCGACGATAAAGTAACATGGGACCAAATTGGATCCCTCGACGGGGGTCGGAAATACCAGCGTATTGGAAGCCCAACACCATTTTCATCAAGGAATCGGGCCTGTACTCGTTGATTTTTCGATCCAATATGCCGGATGCTAAGCAGTTTAAGAGATGGGTCACATCCGAAGTGCTGCCTTCCATCCGCAAAACCAGAGCGTACGTCTCGCCCGACATTACGAAATCGCAACTGTCCGAGTTACTCAATAAAATCACCACACTGGTAGAAAGCAATTGCAAACTAGTAAACCAGATAATCGAAGATCGTCCGAAGCTAGCGGTGATGCCCTTCAACGAAAATCTCAACCACGAACTTCGAATCTACAAAAATGAAAACAGATATAGATTCGTTCGTGCCCAAAAACGCAGCATCCAGATAGATAGATAGATAGATAGATGCTTTATTGTACACCACAAATAAATATACAAAAAGAAGATATAAACAATAGATGATGCACAGCAGGCGGCCTTATCGCTATAAGCGATCTCTTCCAGGCAACCTTAGGGCGTAGGAGAAATTATATGAAATGGTAGGCGGTGTACTTACTACACACAATTGCATATCCTAAATACAGATATACATAAATACATACATACATACATACATACATAATACATACATACATACATACATACATACATACATACATACATACATACATACATAAATGCATAAATACAATGCATACATACATAAATGTAGATCAGATGAAAAAGTATAAAAAGTTCAATAGAAGATACTATAGAGATAAATAATATGATTTTAACTGTACCTTAAAATTATCAAAACTTTTGGCACGCCTGATGTCTATTGGAAGATTATTCCATAAGCGTGCAGCCTTTACTGCGAAGGAGTTGGTAAGGAAACAGGAGGAGTGAGAAGGAATTTTAAGCAACAACGTTTCACTAGAGCGAAGTGGAAGAGTATGGGAATCACTCAAAAGCTGGACACGCTCTCTAAGGTAGAAAGGAGAAGAAGGGTAGAACAGCACGCAGTAGAGAAGATGAAGTACATGAGTATTCCTGCGAAGGCGGATTGGGAGCCACTTGAGCTTTTTGCGAAATTCTGAAACATGGTCATATTTACGAAGGCCAAATATAAACCGAATACAAAGATTTTGAAGCCGCTCAAGTCTATTTAGATGCTCCTCTTTAACGTCAAGATAGCAAGTATCAGCGTAATCAAGAATTGGTAGAAGGAGTGAATTTGCTAGTGCAATTTTGGTTGATATGGGCAAAAAATTTCGCAACCTCCGAAGAGCGGAAACTGCACCAAACATCTTTCGACTCAGTTCACTTACCTGTGGTGCCCAAGATAAATATTGGTCAAAAATGATCCCCAGGTTCTTTACCTTATCAGAATACTGAATTTCGACACCATTCAATATAACCGGTGGCGTCCCAGATCGTGATATTTTTGATAGTAACCTCTGGCTGCCTATTATAATTGCTTGTGATTTAGAAGGATTAATATCAAGGCCATAAGATTCACTCCATGCTGAAATACAGGACAGATCTCTATTAATTAAACTAATTGCATGAGGTAAGTCTGGCACAGATGACGTTGTGTAAATTTGTAAGTCGTCCGCATATAGGTGGTAGAGAGAAGAGATTTGATGGGGAATAGAATTAATGAAAATCGAAAATAATAGAGGAGACAACACGCCACCTTGTGGTACACCGGCTTTAACCATAGACCAATCAGAGAAAAGATCTTCAATTCGTATGCGTTGCTGGCGCCCGCACAAGTAACTACGAAACCAATCAATCACCTCAGGAGATATGTTAAGAGAAGATAATATGGCAAGTAGGATATCAAAATCTACAGTATTAAAGGCATTACTGAAATCCAATAATGTCAATATGGTAACTTTCTGGCTGTTCATACCTTCTCTAATATCATCTGCAATTTTGACCAAGGCAGTAGTCGTACTATGACCGATGCGGAAACCGGATTGAAAGGGATTTAACAATTTGTGATTGTAAAGAAAAGTACTTAGCTGTCGGTGCACAAGTCGCTCCAGCACTTTCGACAAAAACGGGAGAATAGAAATTGGACGATAATCGGAAAAAAGAAGAAGGATTAGATTTTTTCGGTATAGGAATTATTTGTCCATCATTCCAGGAAGTAGGAAATTTATGGGAGCATAAGGAAAAATTTAAGATTGAAGTGATTGTAGGAGCTATTATTTCAAGGACGGGAACGATCATTTTACGACTAATGCAGTCGGCCCCAACAGCATTGGATTTTATAGACAAAATATTTCTCTTAACATCACTTATGGAGAATTGACTAAATTGAAAATGCGGAATATCAGGAGTAGGTGACGCTGAAAGATGATTTATTGTGGTAACCTTTTTTGTACTATCAATAGTACCTGAAAGTGAGAAGTGCTGATTTAACAGATTTAAATCGATATTATGAGGATTAATATTATTTTGTGTCTTCCCTACTCCAATAGATTTGAGAAAATTCCAGATTTTATCTGAATCTTCTTCTTCAATCACAGATTTATAGATATGGCGTCGTTGGCTATCTCTACACACCATATTGCAACGATTACGCGCCTTGATATATTTTCTTTTGTTATTGTCATTGGGATTTGCAGCATATTTCGATTTAGCCATATATTTTTTGTTTTGCAGTTTTTTAATCTCAGGGGTAAGCCATGGAGCCGGAAGATGCTTCATTCGGACAGGCCGAACAGGAGCGTGAATGTCATAAAGCCCAATTAGAAGTGAAGTAAATATTGACATTTGCTCATCAATGGTTTCCGCCTTTGAAACCACCCCCCAGTCAATCCGTTCAGCGTCTTCTCGCAAACGTTCCACGTCCATACTACCAAAATTGCGCTGCAGAAGAATTCTTGATTTAGCTTTTGGCGGCTTTAATTTATAAGATAGAAAAATAAGGTCATGAAAGGAAAACTCTGGAGCAGAGCACTGACCATGCTTAGCAACATGATCAGTGGAAGAAACAATTATAAGATCAAGGAGCGAGGGACTGCAATTTGGGAAGTAATGGGTAGCGTCTAATGGAAGAATATTTAAATTCGCTCCATCAACTAAGCAACGGAGGCGATTAGCTCGGTGATCGTTCTTTAGAAGACAAGTATTGAAATCACCCATAATCACGGCATGATCATAGAGAGGCCTATACTTGTCTAACAGGATTTCAAATGAGGAGAAATAATCAATCGTGAGACTGGGATTATAAAACACCCCCAATAGTATTTTAATATTAGAGAAAATAATCTCAATAAACATGTGTTCCGCCTCTACGTTACCCTGTGACTGAGACATGTCTATAATGGAAAAGGGAATATGGGAACGCAGGTAGATGGCAACACCTCCGCCGCCTCTTCCAATGCGATCATTTCTAATCAAATGAAATCCTGGGAGCCCATACGAGCTTGATGGGAGACATGGCTTAAGCCACGACTCAGAGACTAAAACCGCGTGTATGTTTTTATTGTTAAGACCAGATAACATATCGGAATAATGTGCTGGAATACTCTGTGCATTAATATGAATTAGATTAAAATTTTTAAGACATCTGAGAAGTGCAAATCGAGAGTTTCATTCAGGGTTAGGATACTATGAAAACTGTCGTTGCTGCTAGCACCTTCAGAGGGGGAGGGAAAGGACATAAAAGATTCATTTACACTGTAATCATTTATCATTTTATATGTATGTTCTATATAATAAATAAATATAATATACTAAACCAATATGCAATATATGTTTTTATATAATAATACAAAGAATAAAAGTCAAATACGTACCAAAGATATCAAAAATATAAATATGTATATATATATTAATTTATATAAATATAATAATGATAGTATAAAATAACAAAAATAAATAAATAAATAATAATAATATAATATAATAAAAATTTAATTTGCACGTATACTTTCGTACCTACTCACCCGCCAGTTGCAAGAGAAAAGAATCGACACTTTACTAACAAAATTTAAATCAAGTCGGCAGAACACAAAAATACAATATTAAAAATTAAATTAAATAAATATAACGAAGAAAAGTTTTAAAACAACAAATAATATTTATACGATACAACCATTAAATTATCATAGACAATAAAAACTATAAAGAAATGTTGTCTATTGACACTTATGATATAATCTGTGAAAATAACAGTGGTCAGTGACAGATCACAGACTGCAACAAGTAACAAACATAATTATATTTATATAACTTAACATAAACAAATAGTACACATTACAGAAAACTAAAAAAGAAAGAAAGTATTGTTATGTATTATTTTTTTACAGTGCGTTTTATTCGTGAAACTGTCACTTTGTCCGTCGTATGCTTAGAAGCGGCCGTGGTTTGCGGAGGTGATTTAGAAGCGAGGGGAATCAAGTTAAGATCCCCTTTGCATTCTACTCGATGTCGAGATCCATCAGGAGCAATAACATGAATGTATCCATCGCGTGTCCAGCACTTACCAATACCAAAACGTTGCCGCGCCTCCAAAAATGTGTTATGCCTGCTCTTTGTGAGGAACTCCGACTGTGTTATACCAGTGCCTTTGAGTTTAGTTTTGCTATACCACACTTTGTTACGCACCGCAACATCAGAGAATTTCACGACTATCGGTCTAGGTTTGTCGGAGGACCGACCTAAACGATAAGAGTCTTTGATGCTTGCCGACGAGAAATTAGTCAAATCAAGATGTTCGGCGACTAAGCTTGTGACTCTTGCAGTAGTGTCTTCAGCACTTTTTTCTGGTACCCCATGAAAAAGGATCATTTTGTGACGCCTTCTCATTTCTTGGCGATCAATCTCCAACGCTAGACATTCGACCTGCCGCTGCAACGTGTTCAACACCGAAAGAATAAAACTTCTGAAGCTACTGAATTCAGCAGGCAAAGCATGATTTGTAACAGGTGTTGAACTCTTATTTAGGTCTTGCTGAAAATCATTCATCCTGGTATTGAACAAATCAGTGAGTGCAGACAGTGATTCTTTGATGGACTCCATATTAGTGAAATTAGTGCAAAGTGAAAGGAGATTAAAGAAGGATAACTCTTGCTGGTAGGTGGCTTTACTCACAAAAGCATAATATGTCGCGAAAACAATCCAAAAATAATTTTAAACAATTTTACAATAAACAGCTGTTAAAAGATAGTGTGTCGCGTTTCACTCCTACCCTCGGAAGGATGATCCAGAAATCGGTGAAGAGGATATGAACAGTATAAAAGGGAAGGTGGGAGAAAGAATCAGTCAGTCGGTAAGTATCTTTTGAAGGGAGAGGATGTATTATAGTATTTATTATAAAATAATAAATAATGTATATATAATGAATATAATAATAAATAAATAAATAATAAAGTAATGCATGATATAAGATTATACAAGTCTTTGAATTCAAAGTCTGAGCAGAGACAAAGTCGGGTACTATGCAACTAGTCTTGCGAATGCAGTTTTAAAAATCAAAACTCTGGCCAGGCCTCGAGCTCGAAGCGACTAGTCGTAGAAAAAATTTTTCCTCGCTCCTAAGACCTTTCCACGCATGTTTGTTTCGCGCTATAGAGAGATAGCTATATACTGCTAGGGCGAGACAAAGTACAATGTGTCCGATAAGTAATGGGTAGGGTATAGATCGCTCTGAGGCGCGCTATACCGCGCCTCAAGAGGAACAGATCGAAACGCGTCCGATAAGTAATAGGCAGGGAACAGATCGCTCTGAGGCGCGCTATACCGCGCCTCAAGAGGAACAGATCGAAGCGCGTCCGAAAAGTAATAGGCAGGGAACAGATCGCTCTGAGGCGCGCTATACCGCGCCTCAAGAGGAACAGATCGAAGCGCGTCAATTAGGTAATGGGCAGGGAACATAATGATATTGAGATTCATGTCACATTTGTGTGCGTGATCACGTCGATTCAACGTGATCGTCCATGTCACATTTGATAGTAACCATGGGCGGTAATGACTCGATGCATCCAGTCTCACTCCTCGACGTGGATGAGTGAGACTGGATATGCTCATTGAGAATTCGATTTGACTTGGCGCACCAGTATCAGTATCATCCAACGCGCCATATAAATAGCTAGGCTCGGCGACTCGAGAGTTCAGTTTATTACCAACATGGGTCCAATATTCACTGACGTTTCGGAACATCAGTCTGTACAATCTCAAGTCGACGAGAATCGAGACGCGGCTGTGAGGGAGCGTCACGCAGACGTTTTTGATATGATTACGGTTTTGGCTGGTTTACAAGACGCTGAACGTTCTATGATTTCCAATATCGAAGGTGTCGAACACGATTACAAATCCTTGATGAATGCGATGACACAGTTGAGTGATATTCGTGAACGGATTCGTTGGCTGGAAGACACCATTCTAACGGTAACAAAAAATAATTACAAGTTTTTTATTCATATTAAATTTATTTCTTTGTTGTTGCAGGATTTAATAAATAAAAAAATGTATTCATGTAATCTAATTGACATAAAAAATGTACTTAAAAAGATTTTTTATTTATCTATATTCCTCCTAACCTCCTAAGACCCAAGCGCAATTTGAATGCTTCCTTTGTATACCGGGGCAGGGAACAGATCGATGCTGAGGTATGGTATAGCATACCTCAGAGAGGAACAGATTGAAACGCGTCCGTTAAGTAATGGAGAATAATTAAATAAAACAAACTTATTATTTTACTTCATGTATTTTATTGTGAATATTCAAGTGATCCATTTAACTGATCCGATAATTGCAAAGCAGAATTTTTCGACAAAATCTCGTCTATTGTATTTACAATATCATCATTTGAATATATATTATTAGCGTCAGTCGATTCCTCGTCCCTTTCGCTGCGCAAAATGTTTCCTCTGGCTAGCCATTTTAGATTACGCAATTGTGACTTCACACAATTACCAACGTCCACGGAATGCGCCAGTCCGTGCCACTCTTTCACCAGCTTTGCCAGGGGATTTTTTTTCAATACTGCCTGTATTGCCTTGTTGAAACTTTCGCGTTGACGGCGCACAATGTACCGTTCTCGTGCGGGAGAAATACAAATCAAAGCTAAACAGCGATCTTTGTGACGATTGATGGGCGGAGGTGCGACCAGCGGTGCAATCTCGGTACGTAAACGATCTACCACCTCGGTGCGAATGCGGTTGCGAATAGTATCCAATTTAGCTGAGACTTTCAAATGACGTTGTTCAGCCAGTTGTCGCTCCTCTTCAGCTTTTAAACGCTCTTGTTCGACTTGTAGCATCAGGTCTTTCAACTCGCGCACCGATTGTGTCAATTGATTGTTCTGCATGCTGATCAATTCGTTGCGGTGTTCCTCGTAGTACTTTTCGTATTTCATATATTGCATGGAAATGTGTTTTAGAAATGAGTACAACTCGCGAATCTCTTGGGCTTTGCGGCTGCGCATCTGCATCAGTAGAGACTCGAAATCCATAGTGTTCATAACAATATAGCGCTTCTTCCGATACACTGGGTCGTCAATTTCATTGTATACACATTGCGATGATATAAACTATTCGATTGGTCATGATGTCTTTTTTACAAACTTGTTTGTTTTTAATTAACTATATCATAATGTTCGCGCGCTGGAAAAAAATGAACATAGGCCTTGTCTAGACAAGACCTGATGGATGACTGAAGTAATGAACGTGAGTCGATGCGTGATATGTTAATTTTTTATTAAAAAAGTATTATTAAAAATTTTATATTTTTACTTTAACAAATTACAATTTCTTTACTTATTATTAAATCAAAGTGATATAAAATTCAGAATATCTAACCTTAATATTAACCAATAAAATTGAAAATATCTAACCTTAATATTAACCAATTCTATCGGAAAGGTGGAAAAGGAGAAAGAATAAAAGAGGGGGGGGGGGGGGAGGGGAGAGGCCTTAGTTCAAATTAAAGTGTACAACACCTAGTGTCGATATTTTAAAGATTGATACTGCTGGATAATATACTTTTCTAAAATATTAAATCTAGTTATCCACGTTTTTTTTCTTCTTTAATAGTGATATGAAGTGGTTTTTCATATTTTTATATTCACCATAATAACTGCACCAAGACAACAACTCTTCGTTGATGATAATTTTTTTATCAAGCATCATGTTCCAGAAGAAGGCGTTACGACGATCGTTGTTAATGTCGATTCCAAACTTTTCACATACCTCCCCGTACGACAGCTTCAACGTGATTATCCATTTTCTCACGTCCTGTTCTGACTTTAACAAACTCAACGACATTATTGTTACAATTCGAGGAACACCGATTGAGACTGAGACTCGCTATGCCGAACTTCCCTTGTATACCCGGCAGAGGAATTGGTTGCGACTGAGACTCGCTATGATGAGCCTCCCTTGTATACCCGACAGAGGAACAAGTCGATACTGAGACTCTATATCTGGCAGAGGCACAGTTGTTTGATATTGCCCAGTTTAAGACTGATGATCGCTTATGATGAGCGTCGTTTTATATATCTGCCCAAAGGGATAGGTTTAAACTGAGATGTAAAAAAAACAATACTTTAATAACAATACTTTAATAATTTAATTACGTAATATGAGATGATTCATTCTGGACCACAATGTTGAATTTTGAAAAATTTAAAAGTCTTTAATTAGCGTTGTCCATTGACCGGCTAATTCGACATTAGAACTACTAAGGCATATTAATAATATTATATAATTGAGAATATTCAACCGATGATACCAATCATTGTAGCGAATCGTGGATTTGTTCAAACTTGATGCAATTTTTAATTCGGGACTTACATCAATGTCAACATGCTTACCCACATTTGATATAAAATTTATTAATTGTTGATTATAATCTGAATGGGTCGGTGTTGACATTAATTTTCTTATTCGAAACACAATCAATGGAATATTAATATATTTTTCATTCGTATCTATTTTGGTTTATCCACATTTGATATAAATATTGATTATATGTCTAAATGGGTCGGTGTTGATACTATAATTTTCTTATTCGAAACATAATCAATGGACGATTAATATATTTTTCATTCGCGTCTATGTTGGATTCAATTCGAGATGTATAATATATTAATTGCGTTGCGGTTTCAATTGGACAATTTAAAATATGACGCGTATCGAGATAAGCACGCTCCTATTAAATTGAATCCATTCTCGATTCAATTCGGTGTATTGATGATACGCGTGCCGTGGTTCGAACACGACGGAAAGTTTTCCTTTATCCCCACCACAATTTCGTGATTTTGTATGGGCACGCGCTCGATGGCTATATATTACGATGTTCTCTCGCGCGCGAACTCTTTCTACTATATACTCCGAGTTGTGCAGTAGTAGAACAGGGGTAGGAGCTCACGCCTCGGTGGGGGGAATAAGAAATAAAGTACACAGCGCGGGGGGGGGGGGGTGTATGATTAATATGATAATGAATTTATTTTAATTGAATAAAAAATCAATCGACGATGTAAATTTAATTTCTATTCTGAATGAATCTAGATTGCTGTCCAAAATGGATTCAAAACATTCTGGGTTTTGGTATTCAAAATGAGTCCAATAAATATAATTTTATTCTTTTTATTATATGAACTATTTTATTCGACATCGAATACATAATAAAATAACCAGACCAATAATTTAAATTGAAGTATGATTAATATGAGAATGAATTTATTTTAATTGAATAAAAAATCAATCGGCGATTTAAATTTAATTTCTGTTCTGAATGAATCTAGATTGCTGCCCAAAATGGATTCAAAACATTCTGGGTTTTGGTATTCAAAAGGAGTCCAATAAATATAATTTTATTCTTTTTATTATATGAACTATTTCATTCGACATCGAATACATAATAATAACACCAAAAATTTATGAATCTAGATTGCTGCCCAAAATAGATTCAAAACATTCTGGGTTTTGGTATTCAAAATGAGTCCAATAAATATAATTTTATTCTTTTTATTATATGAACTATTTCATTCGACATCGAAATTTTGTACAAGCGTGCCATTCGAGCTCACTTCGACTACCAATCAGGACTCATACAAACTTTATATTTAAATAAATTCAATTAGACCAACACGTTAATTGAATCCATTTTAGACAGCAATCTAGACTCAGAATAGAAATAAAATTTAATTTTTTTTATTCAATTAAAATAAATTCATTCTCAATCCCCTTTGACAAATAGCCCCCCCCCCCCGCACCCCCTCTCCCGCGCTGTGTACTTTATTTCTTATTCCCCCACCGAGGCGTGAGCTCCTTCGCCTGTTCTACTACTGCACAACTCGGAGTATATAGTAGAAAGAGTTCGCGCGCGAGAGAACATCGTAATATATAGCCATCGAGCGCGTGCCCATACAAAATCACGAAATTGTGGTGGGGATAAAGGAAAACTTTCCGTCGTGTTCGAACCACGGCACGCGTATCATCAATACACCGAATTGAATCGAGAATGGATTCAATTTAATAGGAGCGTGCTTATCTCGATACGCGTCATATTTTAAATTGTCCAATTGAAACCGCAACGCAATTAATATATTATACATCTCAAATTGAATCCAACATAGACGCGAATGAAAAATATATTAATCGTCCATTGATTATGTTTCGAATAAGAAAATTATAGTATCAACACCGACCCATTTAGACATATAATCAATATTTATATCAAATGTGGATAAACCAAAATAGATACGAATGAAAAATATATTAATATTCCATTGATTGTGTTTCGAATAAGAAAATTAATGTCAAAGTAGGACTATGAACCTTATGTTCATGCAAATTGATTTATTTTATTAGAGTATAAAAATTGAACCTGTGACTACATATAACTTCCACTAAGTCATAGTGGTATTAACTTAGATTTTTTTTCTAAAAAATATAGATAAGCTCATCATATACCCCCCTGACCCCTACGACCCATACCCCGCACCCCTCAGACTTACTGACTTGCGCATCACGCCACATTCACCCCCCCCCCCTCTGACACATTACCCCTCACCCCTTAAGCAAAATATTAAAAACAGACGACAGACATCCCCCCCCCTCGCTCATAGTACCCCTCACCCCTTACATACCCGGACCCTACATAGAACCTTATAATAATTAAATATATCAAACCCAAGACTTCTAAATTTAACCACTGAGCCATAAGCAACAATAACATAGAACCTTGTAACACTATTAAACATAGAACTTTGTAACATTTTAATCGAACTTAGAAAATTTTTTAGATTTCACCACTGAGCCATAGGAGTAACGACATAGAACCTTGTAACACTATAAACATAGAACTTTGTAACATTTAAATCGAACTTAGAAAAATTTTAAATTTTTTTTTAGATTTCACCACTGAGCCATAGGGGGGTATTAACATAGAACTTTGTAATAATTAAATAAAATCGAATCCTATACTATAAGATTACAACCACTAAGTCATAGGGACAGGAAATTTTTGTCTTTTCGTACCCCCGCCCCCCCCCCCCTCAAACTTGGGATTTTCATATCTCCGTCCCTGTCCATCCCAGCTTGCCCACTCCTGGGTATAAGGCATCACCCCCCACCCCCCGAAAGACCCCCAATACCCCCAAAGATCCCCAAGGCTACCCACGAGACCTCCCTCCCCTCGCCCACGCCCACCACCCCCCCTCTACTTAAAACCGTCATAACTTCTAAACCGCTGAACCGATTTGAACAAAATTGATGTCAGGTGGTAGGCGCTACAAAACCGAACCCTAAATTCAAAGTTAAAAATTTTTTGGAAAACCCCTTAAACCCCAAAAACCCAAAAAACCAACTTATTTTAAATTCTACTCCTACGATTTCGGCCTAAAAAATATATTATATAGAAAAACCCCCCTTTAAAATAATAGTAATTTAATATTTTGAAAAAACCCAAATTTGACCCCAGAAAACCCCAATAACCAACTTTCTTGCCCAACTTTGTCAAAAATTGACCTAAATCCCTCGAGTTTGGGCTCAAATTAAAGGTCTCGGCTAGCCCTACAACCCTCTATCATCAGATCCCGAATACCTCCCCCCCTTCCCCCCCCCCTTCCCAAAAAATTTAATTTTTTAAAGCACGTTCTTAGAATTTTTAAATATTATATTAACTATAAGGAAGATACATTCCATATTGGAATTTATTTAGGATATAATTAAATTAAGTTAGATTAAGACATATAGCGAGCCATTTATACTCGCTATAATTTATTTATATTGACAAATTGACGGGAGCCGGACTCTAACAAACTTATTAACGTGCGGCGACATAGGCAAGTGCGTCGACATGGTATCATCGTTGGTTTGATGCAATGAATTTCGAGGAGCTCTCCATGATTCGAAACATGACGACGACGACGCTGATGATGATCTCGGCGGCGGCGGCGACGAGTTTAAACTCATATCATCAGTGTCATCGTGATCATTGGGTTTAGAGACTGCGTCTGTGCATTCGTCGTAGGCCTCGTTGTCGTCGGCTTCGAGTGTTTCGTTGTATTCATTAGGTTTTTTGTATTTAGTATTACTTGAATACGGATAATGTCTTTGAATCAATTGTATATTGTTGTATCGATCGATAACCAATAAACCCGCTCTAAGAGTGTTTAATGTCCCCGCACAGAATGCACATGAACATTTTCTGTTCAATTTCATCGCCGCATCGATTTTGAATACTATTGTGCAATATAAATTTGTGTTTACAAGCCTCCTCCACGGGAATTGGAAAACTCATTAAACGTTTTATCAATTCGTTTTGTTCACAGTTCAAAGTGTCATTTAACAGTTCGGCATGCTTCTTGGATGGATGGAATTGGGATTGTTTTTTCTCGCAAGACGACGATACTTGTAGCTTTTGTTGTTTAATCGATTGCGATGCGGTCGGCGATGCTGGACGAGACGACGCTTTGATTTTACGAATAAGATTATCTGAAATATATAACGTGCGATTAAGAATTGGTATATTATTTTATTAACGAATAAAAAAAAACAAAATAGTATAAATATATAAAAAATAATATAATACCGTAGTCGGCGTCGTCTTCGTCGTCGTCATACACAACTTAGTCAGCGGCGTCGTCGTCGTCTTCGTCATCCACAACTTCGTCAGCGACGACGTCTTCGTCTTCGTCACAAGAAGAGGGGATTTCGTCGAGAGCGATGTTTTCGGACGGTGGGATGGACGGTGAATGAGGCTCGTAATCGTCGACGGCCGTTGTTATAGCCGCGTCGGTCTCTTCCTTCTCCGCAGTCTCCTTATTGATCGGTAGTTTGGTTGTCTTGCTCGTGGACGAGACGGCAGCGGATTTTAGAATAGATGCGCATTCGTCGCATTGAGATACAAACTCGTGCAAAGATGTAATTTGATGCTTACACTGCTCGGAGGGTGATGCTTCGTCGTGTTCCAGTAATAAATGTTTTCTCAATAATGCATGATCGCGATTAAACTCTATAAATTTTTCCATAGACTTGACTGTTTTCTCGATAGATTTACACATACTCATCATGACACTTTTCTTTCTACTCAATAGGCCTTTTTCAGACATTTTTTTCTCAGTTACCGTAGTGGTATTCATGTTTTTTTTTGTGTTCGATACGCCAAAACTGTAATAGAACAAAACACAAAAAATATAATAACAATAATTAGACACGTTTATCGAGTTTAGTATTTTGTAAAGCAAAGGAGACGCACTCTTCGATCTTTCTATCTGAAATGTACGGTACTTTATATATTCTGAATACGTCGTCTTTAATATTGAACGTAATCAGGTGCATCTCGTCAATCTTTATATTATAATCGTTCGATTCCTTCTCTAACATGTATCTATAGATGTTTTGTTGAATATAATACTTGGATAGCGAGGTATTTTCAAATATCGATGCGGGTCCTAGACCGTAGCTCACTCTACCGACAGAGGCCAGCAGATCTTTGTTGGTAGTTTTCCAATCGTACATAATGGTATGCAATTTACCATGTTCGTCTTTTTTTCCATTAGTAAACAGCGAATCTATCGTGCCGCATATCGGAAAGTCTTTATCGAATATGGCCTTTTCTACGAGAAAAGGAATATAATTGTGATTTCGTCTATCATAATAAAAGTGTTGAAACTGTTTTAGTACAGTGAGGATTTCCTCGTTGGTGATTACATTATGATTTTCGTAAGTATGCTTAAGTAACGGACAATGGTGTATTATCGTCGCGCAGTCTTTGTTTGATATTGTACGAAAAACAATTTCATCAAATTAAATTTCATCTAAATCGGTTCTGTAATTCCAAAGATTAACAACTAATAAACTAAACGTAATTCCAAAGATAAACAAACACACAAACTTACAAACTTTACCTCTTTATAATATTAGTATGATTGTTTTCTATCTTGTCGCCTTATTGCTTATTTGTTCAAACCACTTCTTACACTTTACTGTAAATAATTTTATCCTCCATTTTAAAATAAAGCTCTATTTCAAAGATTTTATAGACAAAATATATTTTGTCAACTTTTTTAAAGTAATACGGGTGTTTGGACAAATAAACAATGTAATTGTGATTTCTCTATATTTGAGAAAATCCTATTTTGCCTAACTTGGGACTTCATGATATACATGTTAGCCAATAGACCAATTACACGGACAAAATCAAGTTTAACAATAATCCGAATAGTATACAAATCAAAATCTGTATACTGAGCGGTAAGTTAATAAATGTGAAATAATACTTTCTTAGATTTACGCGAATATTTGACATTTTAAATAAAACTATATTTTCGGATTTTGTCGCGGTAAATCTAAGAAAGTATTATGTGAACCAGTACGGACTGGAAATCGCAAACCAAATACGCCGGTTAGAAGATCTGAAGACAAAGCGCGCAAGATTATTAACATCTTTAACATTCTTGAAGAGATGTCGAGATCATCGTCTCATTCCTACGTGTGTGAAAATATCATCTAAAAAGAACATACGGGGAAGCGCCAAGATCGTTAACAAGGCAAGTTTTAAGTTGTTACGGACGGTGATTCGTCAAACCCGCCGTGATCTACGCAGTAACGACCGGTACGTACCGCGACAAAATCCGAAAATATAGTTTTATTTAAAATGTGAAATAAAGAAAATAGCTAATGGATTTTGTTATAATATTATAATAAAGAAAAAAATAAAATAAGCTAGAACAAAGAACACCAACAAAATAATGCTTAAAAAATAAATAAATATATATCATTATCATGTCGCTATTGGCAAAAGCTACGCGTTTTATGCACACTATCGAAGTCTTGGATATGACGGGATGACGATTCAAGATGCACGTATATTGGATGGGTAGCGTTACGAAAGCGTCGTGTTGCGGATCGCTCTTGCTCAAATCTTAAAAAGCCTTGTTGTAATTGACATAGAGATTAAATTTTTGTAGCATACTATCGGGCAGAATGATTGAATCGGCCTGCAAATCGAATCTCAGCGCAATTTGACATCTAATCTCGAGTATCTTGGGCGATAGTAGATTGCGACGCATCTGACTCTTTCGACCTTGAATTTGATTCTTTATGCTGCCGTGTGACATTTCAACGTTCATCAGGACATTCAACTCTTGCACGTGCGTCTTTGTACGCATGTGTACGATATAATCGAGCGACAAGTCTCTGGCGAGTATCTTGGTGTATTTGGCAATAGAATTACGATGATATTCGATAAATTTGGTGAAAGCCTCCAACCAAGACTGCCACATTGTAAACTTGAACATTTTCAATTTAGCATACTTTACGTAGTTTTCGTTGTTTTTGGTTTTATTATTTTTCATTCTGGACATGGCGGCGAATTGGTCGGCAATCTTCGCGTCGCACTCGTGAAGAATCTCGTTGTCGAACCATTTGATGAGAATATTCAATAGATTGTACACCTGGTTGTCGTTGAAAAAATCGACGTGAATCAGTCGCAGCGTCTCGATGAGTTTCGCCCTGATGTCGGTGCGAAGAATCTGATTGTAAATCTTTAGCGATTCGATGGATTGTTTCTTCAGATTCGGTATGAATAGACAACAATGATCCTGCAACTCTTCGAATGTGCAAGCGTTGGCAAAACTCTTGCGATACATGTACGGATAATTGGTGAACACGATGTAGCCGGGCAGGTCGTTCTGCTGTTGAATTTCCTTGTGATTAATCACTGGATTCTTTCTCAGCCACCATTGGTTCAAGATCAGCAACATTTCGTCGGGAGTGGACACGTACGACCATCCTTTTCGTTGCACATAAGACCTAGTGAGTGATATTACGCACCGTGTATTCCCTGCAACGATCGAAATCGAGGTCAAGAATCGGCGTTTGTCACACTCTGCGCCGCGGCTAGAGGTTGGGGCAAATTGTGCACTTTCGAAAAAGTTGATTTTTGAGCCGTTTAGGCCAAACGAGTGCCTTTGAATCTAAAGAAACAAGCTAGGCAGGTACGAGCGCCTTTGAATCTAAAGAAACCAACTAATCAGGTACGAGCGCCTTTGAATCTAAAGAAACCAGCTAATCAGGTACAATTGTATATGCATATAAAGAAATTACACGATCCAGTCGTAACAAGCGATAACTACGATGACGAATGGCAAAGCGATGAAGATTGGCAAAACGATGAATACGAACCAGATTGTCGAGGCATTGAAAATCTTAAAATCTAATAAAAAAGAAAAAAATTATGAAAAAAACTATTTTTGTTGTTTATTTCACCAGTCTCCCAAATTCGACATCGTTTCGTTCGTCCATGTCAAATTTGTGAGACGGGTACACAAATTTGACATGGACGAAGGAAACGATGTCGAATTTGTGTACCCATCTCACAAGTTTGACACGGACGAACGAAACGATGTCGAATTTGTGTACCGGTCGCACAAATTTGACATGGACGTCATTGTGATCGCGCAATTCTGTCAAATTTGTGTACCCCTCTCACAAATTTGACATGGAATGAATCAGTGTCGAATTTGTGTACCGGTCGCACAAATTTGACACGGACGTCATTGTTCTTTGTCTCACTCTAGCATCGTATAGCTATCTCTCTCTTGCACGAAACAAACATGCGTGGAAAGGTTTTAGGAGTAAGGAAAAAAGTTTTCTACAGCTAGAGGCTTCGAGCTCGAGGCCTGGCCAGAGTTTTTGATTTTTAAAACTGCATTCGCAAGACTAGGTGTACGCCACCCGACTATGTCTCTGCCCAAACCTCGAATTCAAAGACTTGTATTAATATCATGCATTACTTTATTCTTTATTAAATTCATTTATTTATTATTACTTTTATTCATTTATGTATTTATATTATTTATTATTCTATAATAAATAATATAAATACATCCTCTCCCTTCGAAAGATACTTACCAACTGACTAGTTCTTTCTCCCACTTTTCCTTTTATACTTCTCATTTTGAGAGTTTGCTCATTCTACAAAGACGAGTCAAGACAGGTCAAAGAGATTCAAGGCTAAATCACGTCATCAGCAAAGATGAGTCAGCGAAGGAACAGATTGATACTGACGCTTGGTTCGGCAAGCTTCCAAGATGACGTCATCATCGAGAAACAAACATGCGTGGAAAGGTTTTAGGAGTAAGGAAAAAAAATTTCTACGGCTAGACGCTTCGAGCTCGAGGCCTGGCCAGAGTTTTGATTTTTAAAACTGCATTCGCAAGACTAGGTGTACGCCACCCGACTATGTCTCTGCCCAAACCTCGAATTCAAAGACTTGTATTAATATCATGCATTACTTTATTCTTTATTAAGTTCATTTATTTATTATTATTTTTTATTCATTTATGTATTTATATTATTTATTATTCTATAATAAATAATATAAAATACATCCTCTCCCTTCGAAAGATACTTACCAACTGACTAGTTCTTTCTCCCACCTTTCCTTTTATACTTCCCATTTTGAGAGTTTGCTCATTCTACAGAGACGAGTCAAGACGATTCTAGGTCAGATGAAGTCACCCAACAAAGACAAGTCTCGACGCGTTACGAGTTTACAACGATCACGTTGAATCGACGTGATCTTTGACGTGATATAAAAAAAAATCATTTTTTTTAAATATAATATATTAATTTAGTATAAAATCAGCGCTTCTATACAAGTGTAATATCATGGGAAATTTATATTCCGTCAAATATGCATACGTTTGTTTAAAATAATTTACTGAAACAAAATATTCCTTGATTAAATATTCTAATATTGCATTAACACTCGTTATGTCTTGATTACAAGAGGTTTTCACCAGAGTCAATATAGTAACCCATGCTAAGGTTTCTGAATTGGTTTTTTGGGCCTCTGCAAATTTTTGTTTGAACAGAGGCAAGTAGTGTTTGCATTCTTCGGTATTCAATAGAGCTAGAAAATTCAACAACTGTGCCACTTGATGAAATATGCCATTTTCATTATGCTGGTTCAGCATATCGTTTGTCCGTACAAACAGATTGTTTAGATATTTATAGGTATACTTCATCATTATGCCGTTGCGTACGAATTGTAAAGTAGATTTGGATCGCGCGGTTCGTATGGTTTATTACAGCTAGTTACGTTTACGTGTTTGTGAATGGGTTTTTGCAGCGAACTCGATTCGGCCTTCAAATACAAGATATCGCAATCTTGAACGATTAGTCTGGTGGATGAAATGGCCAATACTTCGTTGCCGTATCTCTTTTCAAACACCTCTTCGGTGAGCGTAGGCAGCGAATGGAACAATCCTTGTCCGCAGCCAAACCAGTAGATACCGTCGATTATCTGAATATTGGGAACTCTTGTACGAACGATATCGGAATGTGGCGTATCATCCTGTGGTTCTCCGATAAATACTTGGACGACAACAATAATCACGGTTGGCTGCAACACATTCGATCAAAGTTCAAGAGCGACGTCAACTTCAATCTAAACTCCAAGACATTCGTTCAATATCGAGTACCGATCGATGAATTTCCGCTGTTTGATATTCTAATATTGAAAACGTTCACACCGGCCATATATACTTTAGACGGTAAAAACACAGATCGATGTTATTATGTTATGATCGAGCAGAGAGGAACAGATTGAAACGCGTCCGTTAAGTAATGGAGAATAATTTAATAAAACAAACTTATTATTTTACTTCATGTATTTTATTGTGAATATTCAAGTGATCCATTTAACTGATCCGATAATTGCAAAGCAGAATTTTTCGACAAAATCTCGTCTATTGTATTTACAATATCATCATTTGAATATATATTATTAGCGTCAGTCGATTTCTCGTCCCTTTCGCTGCGCAAAATGTTTCCTCTGGCTAGCCATTTTAGATTACGCAATTGTGACTTGACACAATTAGCAACGTCCACGGAATGCGCCAGTCCGTGCCACTCTTTCACCCGCTTTGCCAGGGGATTTTTTTTCAATACTGCCTGTATTGCCTTGTTGAAACTTTCGCGTTGACGGCGCACAATGTACCATTCTCGTGCGGGAGAAATACAAATCAAAGCTAAACAGCGATCTTTGTGACGATTGATGGGCGGAGGTGCGACCAGCGGTGCAATCTCGGTACGTAAACGATCTACCACCTCGGTGCGAATGCGGTTGCGAATAGTATCCAATTTAGCTGAGACTTTCAAATGACGTTGTTCGGCCAGTTGTCGCTCCTCTTCAGCTTTTAAACGCTCTTGTTCGACTTGTAGCATCAGGTCTTTCAACTCGCGCACCGATTGTGTCAATTGATTGTTCTGCATGCTGATCAATTCGTTGCGGTGTTCCTCGTAGTACTTTTCGTATTTCATATATTGCATGGAAATGTGTTTTAGAAATGAGTACAACTCGCGAATCTCTTGGGCTTTGCGGCTGCGCATCTGCATCAGTAGAGACTCGAAATCCATAGTGTTCATAACAATATAGCGCTTCTTCCGATACACTGGGTCGTCAATTTCATTGTATACACATTGCGGATTTTTTTTCAATAAAGATAAAAAATGAGTTTTCATGTTTTTATACTCTCCTGAATATCCGCACCATGATAAAAGATCGTCGTTGATTGAAATTTCTTTGTTCAACATCATATTCCAAAAAAAAGCGTTGCTTTTGTCCTTTTCGATGTCGATTCCAAATTTTCTACACACCTTTGAACACGACAGCTTCTGTGGCGAAATCCATTTTTTTACGTCTTGTTCCGATTTCAAGGATAAAGACATTTCTTATAGGCAGAACTGAGGCGCGGTACTTGGCAGGGGAACGGATCGAGACTGATGGTGCGATAAGCGTTGCGATAAGTATAATTTAATAAGGTAAATTTTCATATTAAGAACTATGGTCCTTTCCCGATGGAGGGCCAAGTGAAATATGATGTTTTTCCCTTGCATCCACTCGCTTTATATTAGACTTTTTACCTCACTCCCTCCGCCCCTCTTCCTCCTCAATTCATTTGATTTGGTTTCATGATTATACAGCACTGTACCTACAATCGATGATGATACGAAAAAAGTCCAAATTGAATTTGGCAATTATTACATATTATATGAAAACATGAGTCTGTTTTAAACCTATTTTCCATAAATTTGCGAGCACAATATGTACACAATTCTCTGATAGTGAGTAACTAACGTACTAAGTAAGTAACGGGCTCATTAATTCATCTTCGCTCACCGGATCTATAATAGGATTCGTCGGTGCACCCGGGTGCCATACTCGGTCTCTATACGTAATGTAGGTGTGGGCTAATAACGGAATCACACTGACGCTTCGTTTATGTTCGAAGAAAAAGTCCGTCGGTATAATTGGTTTAGTCTCTTTATCACCTACCGAATCTCATTCTATTAATTAAAGAAATAAATATATCTAATATTAATACGGTCACTATAAAATGTTGTAACTTAACTAATTCGGTAACGATTTATGACAAAGTTGTCGGATAGATGCTTCCATAGATAGGTAATGAATAAGTTAACCGACTTGGTTTTAAATTATATCTCATAGCTTTTTGCGGTAGAAGAAATGCGTTGCGAGACTTGCAATTTTTTTACAGTATGTTTTTGATGGGATTGAGAATATTCAACCGATGATACCAATCATTGTTGCGAATCGTGGATTTGTTCAAACTTGATGCAATTTTTAATTCGGGACTTACATCAATGTCAACATGCTTACCCACATTTGATATAAAATTTATTAATTGTTGATTATAATCTGAATGGGTCGGTGTTGACATTAATTTTCTTATTCGAAACACAATCAATGGAATATTAATATATTTTTCATTCGTATCTATTTTGGTTTATCCACATTTGATATAAATATTGATTATATGTCTAAATGGGTCGGTGTTGATACTATAATTTTCTTATTCGAAACATAATCAATGGACGATTAATATATTTTTCATTCGCGTCTATGTTGGATTCAATTTGAGATGTATAATATATTAATTGCGTTGCGGTTTCAATTGGACAATTTAAAATATGACGCGTATCGAGATAAGCACGCTCCTATTAAATTGAATCCATTCTCGATTCAATTCGGTGTATTGATGATACGCGTGCCGTGGTTCGAACACGACGGAAAGTTTTCCTTTATCCCCACCACAATTTCGTGATTTTGTATGGGCACGCGCTCGATGGCTATATATTACGATGTTCTCTCGCGCGCGAACTCTTTCTACTATATACTCCGAGTTGTGCAGTAGTAGAACAGGGGTAGGAGCTCACGCCTCGGTGGGGGGAATAAGAAATAAAGTACACAGCACGGGGGGGGGGGGTTGTATGATTAATATGAGAATGAATTTATTTTAATTGAATAAAAAATCAATCTACGATGTAAATTTAATTTCTATTCTGAATGAATCTAGATTGCTGTCCAAAATGGATTCAAAACATTCTGGGTTTTGGTATTCAAAATGAGTCCAATAAATATAATTTTATTCTTTTTATTATATGAACTATTTCATTCGACATCGAATACATAATAAAATAACCAGACCAAAAATTTAAATTGAAGTATGATTAATATGAGAATGAATTTATTTTAATTGAATAAAAAATCAATCGGCGATTTAAATTTAATTTCTATTCTGAATGAATCTAGATTGCTGCCCAAAATGGATTCAAAACATTCTGGGTTTTGGTATTCAAAATGAGTCCAATAAATATAATTTTATTCTTTTTATTATATGAACTATTTCATTCGACATCGAATACATAATAAAATAACCAGACCAAAAATTTAAATTGAATAAAATATCAATCGAAGATTTAAATTTCATTTCTATTCTGAATGAATGTACATGAGTAGATTGCTGTCTAAAATGGAATATTTAATACTCTCTATTATATGAATAATTTCGTTTAAATATTAGAGTTTTTTTTTTTATTAGTAATTGAATCTATTCTCGATTCAATTCGGTGTTTTGATTTTACGCGTGGTAACGTGAACCCATTCTCGATTCAATTCGGTGTATTGATGATACGCGTGCCGTGGTTCGAGCACGACTGAAAGTTTTCCTTTATCCCCACCACAATTTCGTGATTTTGTATGGGCACGCGCTCGATGGCTATATATTACGATGTTCTCTCGCGCGCGAACTCTTTCTACTATATACTCCGAGTTGTGCAGTAGTAGAACAGGGGAAGGAGCTCACGCCTCGGTGGGGGAATAAGAAATAAAGTACACAGCGCGGGAGAGGGGGTGCGGGGGGGGGGCTATTTGTCAAAGGGGATTGAGAATGAATTTATTTTAATTGAATAAAAAAATTTAAATTTTATTTCTATTCTGAGTCTAGATTGCTGTCTAAAATGGATTCAATTAACGTGTTGGTCTAATTGAATTTATTTAAATATAAAGTTTGTATGAGTCCTGATTGGTAGTCGAAGTGAGCTCGAATGGCACGCTTGTACAAAATTTCGATGTCGAATGAAATAGTTCATATAATAAAAAGAATAAAATTATATTTATTGGACTCATTTTGAATACCAAAACCCAGAATGTTTTGAATCCATTTTGGGCAGCAATCTAGATTCATAAATTTTTGGTGTTATTATTATGTATTCGATGTCGAATGAAATAAATCATATAATAAAAAGAATAAAATTATATTTATTGGACTTGAAGAGGGCTAGAGGTGTATAAATTAATTCGGTAATAATCACGGGTGATGTGGCGATGATAAAATAAAAATCAACCGGTCAGTAAGGGGGTTTAATAGCAATTGACAATGATTCTGCAAAAAGAGATACATATGGCGAAGCGCCTGATTAATTTTGACCGCAATAACTTTGTTATACAAAAAATTGCTTATAACTAACTTAAACTAAATTACGGAAGCGTAAACATGCCCCCGGCCGTTGAAGGCTTGCATTCAACAGGACTCTTCTATCAGCGGGCAGATTTTCGAAAAGGCTCGTCTAATGATGCCGGTCGCAGTCTTAATATCAGCCACCCTGGAGATTCCGTCGGTGCCAGGATGAAGAGCAATAACTCGACCCAGTTTCCATTTCATTGGCAGCAAGTTGTTGTATTTAATAACGAATAAAGAGTTCAATTTTAGTGCATCCGTAGAGGATTTCCACTTGACTCTTAGCTGCAATTCTGACACATATTCTTTACTCCCTTGACCAAAAATTCTGTCGGAGTTGTTCAATGCGGTGGTGTCGAGTTAACATGTGACTGGAGCAATCACGAAGATCCTTCACAGGTAGAGATGTGAGCGGTCTTTCTATTAAAAGTGACCGGGAGTAAGAGGCAACAAATCTTCAGGATTCGACGATAAAGGAGTGAGAGAATTTAAAATTCCTTCAATTGGAACTAATATAGTGTTAAATTCCTCATAAGTAAGGTGACAATTGCCTAACACTCTTATCAAATGAAATTTAGTCGACTTGACACCTGCCTCCCAAAGACCGCCAAAATGTGGAGCATAGGCAGGGATAAATGAAAGTTAACACCGTCACGAGCCGCGCTGTCAGATATAGAGTTACAATTTTGTTTTGAAAAATCTGTGATTTCATTACAAGCTCCTGTGAATGTCGTTCCACGGTCAGAAATAATATTAAGAGGTTTACCTCTCCGAGAAATAAACCTAATGCCTGCAGGTAACTATTGCTAGTCAAATCGCCTACCAGTTCTAAATGAATGGCTTTTGTCGTAAAACATATAAAAATAACGATATAGACCTTCACTAATCTACATCCACGACCTTGACGACTAGCTGAGGTTAAGGGCCTGCGTAATTAATCGAATAAGCTCATATCGAGGTAAAAGTTTTACAAAATGATGAGTGGACTGTAAATGAATTGGATGCTTTTTCTCGAAAGCGTATTCGGAATTATGTAGCCTACCTCCTTCCTACACGTATAATTTTATTAGCATCGAGAAATACACTTAATTTTAACAACGGTTTTTGTATGGTAAATTTTTATTATTCATTAATAAATCATACTTAGGAAAAGATTTTCTTTGTAACTGAGTTAATAAACAGTAGTTCAGTTTTAGAAAAATAAGCAGTGTTTTTTGTGCCTCTTCGTTTATAGGCATCAATATAGCGCAATACATAACAAAGGTACGTTATAATCCTAAAATATTAAAAAAAACGTTCAAATTTTATTAATCCTGTTTCTACAGTATTTTCATACGCGACATGAAGGTTAATATTTGTTTTTATTTTAGGTAATCTTAAAATCCTATTGTAAGCGACGCATTATAAAAAAAATATTATATTTGTATATTTTATTTTGTTATGTTTGTAGTAAGTATAAAAATGTTATTAAAGTTATGGTAAACGGTTTGTAAGCGACGTATTATAAAAAGTATTATATTTGTATATTTTATTTTGTTATGTTTTTTAGTAAGTATAAAAATGTTATTAAAGTTATGGTAAACGGTTTGTAATGAGTGTGAACGATATGGATGCTAAGGGGACGCGGGCGCAGGGGGGAACCGATTACGTTAGTTTTCGCGAGAGCGCGCCACCTTTTACTTTGTACTCATCACGAGCCGCGAGCCGACTAGATCTAAAATTCGACTTTTCTTTTACCTGCGTTATAAAGTGGTCTTCGAGCCGAATTATACTGTTATATCTATGTTCACCACACCTCCATCATCTACAATGGTCAACACGCGAAGTACAGTGCGTAAAGAACGCGAAATGTCGAAACATATGGAAGCGTCGACCAGCCAACCATCAACTTACCAGCCAAACGTGCAG